ACCTGGAGTCAAGGCGGAGCCACACCAGCCAGGAAGTGAGCTGCTTTCCCGAGTGGACAAGTACCAGTGGACATGGTACAAGGAATAGAAGGAATGCAATCAGTGGAGACGTCTGATTAACCAAACTCATAGAGAAACAATACCCCTCCCCCACGTTGTTGTCGTTGTGTACTGTCAGCTAGGAACCAACCCATCACTGACCTTCTGGCAGGTGTTTAGAGACAGTAAATCGCACAGGAGGATACTGGCCATCCTCTCGCAGAGCAGCTGGTGGATTCGAACCATGTGTCTTTGGGATTGCAGTGCAGCTTCTTACCACTAGGCCACCAGAGCTCCCTATATTTTGATGCAAGGCCCTATCCCATTCCAATTTCAGATTGACCTCCAAAATGTTTCATCAAATAATGATAAAAATGTTAAGTATAAATGTGATTTACTAATAAACTGGTCAAAAACTCTTAAGGATATCCAAGGGCCTGTAAATACCCAACAACTTCACATTCACCATTTATGACATGCTCTTGAAAAAAAAAGTTCAATTTCCCCGTCTTTCCTCTTGCAATCACATTTTATTTCCACTTCCTCTAAATAATGGATATGCCGTTATAAATAAACAAAATATATTGTTTTTCTTGGAAGTCTGTATCAATCATTCTCACTTCACTACTACAATAATTTGTTCATAAATTTCATTTAAAGGCCTTCAGATTTTTCTTCTAGACTGATCGGTACAGTCATTATTAATGAACAAATATTAACAATTATCATTAAATAAAAGTCCAATACATAAATAAATAATCAAGGAGCTGTGGTGGCCTAGAGGCAAGAACGTGTGCTGCAATCTCGAAGGCATGTGGTTCGAATCCATCAGCTGTTTCTGGAGAGGAAGATGGGTAATCTCCTCCCGTGCAGTTAACTGCCTCTGAAAGCCTGCTGGAGGGTTGACTATGGGTAGGTTCTGACTCTACAGTACACAACAACAACAACTAAGTAATTATTGGGCATAAGTGTTGGAAGCATTTTAGAAAGAATTTCTTTTTGCTGGATGAAAGATTGGGATGCCTTTGTGGATGCAGCTTAGTCCCTGACACGTCTGACACTCTGCAAGGTTCTCTGCCATCCTGGAGTTTGTGACCCCCGAGGATAGGGAAAATGTGGGGTTCAAGACAGGCATGTCTTTCTTCTGCAAAGTGGAAGGAGGGCAAGCGCGGTAGGAGGAGTGGTTCTGGACAACTAGGAGAATTTATTAAGCAAATCTCACTTTTTTCTCATATTTTAAACTGTACCCACACCTGATTCAGGACTTCAGATTTTACACATACATTACACAGGGCACAAAAATAAAGTTCACTTGATCATGAAAATATTTTCTTTAAATAAAAAAGGGACACTCTGTTTGTAAAAAGAAAAATGACAGAGGGAAGGCTGTGTAAAGAATATGCCCACACGAAGTGCTCTTTGGAGGCAAAAATGATGATGAGACTTCGCCTCACATACTTTAGGTATGTTGTTGGAAGGGGCTATTCCTTGAAGAAGGACATGATGCTTGGAAAGGTGGGGAGCTGGCGAAGGAGAAGAAGACCTCAACCAGGTGGACTGACACGGGGACTGTCGCAATGGGCTCTAGTGTGTAAGGAAGTGTGAAGACGGCCCAGGATTGGACAGGGTTCCAATCTGTTATTTACAACATCACCATGAGCTGTACTCCATCTGACAGCACCTAACAACAATGACGTCTGCAGACAGTGCTGGGGAACTGAAGCGATTACATCAGCTGCTTTGAGGGAGAAAGCTGGGCCATTTCCTTCTGTGCAATTTACAGCCTCTGAAACCCACGAGAGGGCCAGTCAGGAGTCGTTCTGACCCTACAGCCTATAATGAACAATTTCAATCATGAAGGAGAACTTCAGTCCTGTCTGCATTTGCATTAATAAATACAGAAAAAAGTATATGGATAACAAACAGCTAATAACGTTCCTCACAAGGACTTCCTGTTTCTCTTAAAAAAGTTAATCTATATGTGCATGGAAAGAAAATGCAAACAGCCCATGAAAAGGGAAATCTTAGAGCTTCTCAAAAGGAAAGACTGTTCTAACTTTGCGCCCTGCCAGGAGGAAAAATTCACGTATCAGCATCGACTTCTTTTTCTCTCCTCATTTTCATTACATTTTGACTAAAAAGGGATCAAATTAGTTTCTTTTTTAAAAAAAATTATTTATTTCAATGAAGATTTACAGAGATTTTGTATTTCCATTCACTTAATGAATGGATGTTCCTTATTTTGCTTTGTTCACTAATAGCTAGAGCACATATCTACACACCCGAGTTTGAAAACAAAACAAACAGGTTCATAGTATTTGATCACATTGTGGTTGTTTGTCGTTGAGCCACGGCCAACCCATCACTGACCCTCCAGCGGGTTTTCAGAGGCAGTTAATCCCACAGGAGGAGATTGTCCATCCTTCTCCCGCAGAGCAGCTGGTGGATTCAAACCATGTGTCTCTGTGATTGCAGCGCAGATTCTTACCTCTGAGCCTCCAGTTACTGAACTAGTCCCACCCATACTGAGGAATCTAATTGTCTCAAAATCTTTGCTAATAAAAACGTTTCAAGGATTAAGTTTTGATATACTTTTGTCAGGTAAGGCCATAGCCTAGCAAGAGCTGAAAGGCAATTTCAACTTAGATTCAATTACATTTACATTCTAGAACCCTGACCCTATTATAATTATTCTATTTTGCCAACAGTTGTTACATGTTTTAAAGTTAACCCCTAGCCATTGGTGACCTTCCAGTGGGTCTTCTGAGGCAGTAAATCACACACACGGGAGGAGACTGCCCATCCTTCTCCCGCGGAGCAAGTGGTGTGGATTTGAACCAGGACAGGTCCTTGGAGAGGGACATCATGCTTGGGAGGGTGGAGGGGCGGCGCAGGAGGGGAAGGCCCTCTATGAGGTGGATTGATTCAGTGACTGGGGTAATCGGAATGGGTGTATCGGAGATGGTGCAGTTGGCACAGGACAGAACAGAGTTTAGGGCTGTTGTACATAGGGTCGCTATGAGTTGCAATTCTTTTCCAGCACCACAATCCAAAAGCACTGATTCTTCTTCTAACATCCTTAATCCATTGTCCAGTTCTCTGATGCATATCAAGTCACTGTGAAGACCATGGCTTGGATCAGGCACACCTGAGTCTCTACACTGACACTATTGCTCTTCAATACTCTGGAGAGGTCCCTGACAGCAGACTTCCCAAATATAATTAATCTTTTGATTTCCTGGCTACTGGTACTGAGTTGATCGTGGAGCCAAGCAATCAGAAGCTGTTATCAATCTCAGTCTCTTCTCAATCTATCATGATGCTGCCAATTGGCTCAGTGGTGAGAATCTTTAATTTCTTGATGTTGAGCTTCAAATCCATATTGAAGGCTGCAGTCCTTGACCTGCAGTGAATGCCTCAGGTCTTCCCCAGATTACCCATATTGTTTTCATAATTACTATCCAATTATTATCTTGGAGTCTATAGTTTTGGTTTCTCTGTAAATGGGCACTTTTATACAGTAACATTTTGTAACGGGTGAGACTGTCTCACTGAGATACTCTTAAAACTAGAACAGAGTCTGTTCCCCAAGATCACCTTTTAGTGAAACAGCAGAGTGTCACGCAAAATAAGGGGATAACTTGTAGTAACTGAATAAGGCATCAAAAGGTCAACAATTCAAAGATGAAGAGATAACAGGGCAGAGATATAACATCCTGGGAAAGGAGCAAGTAGACTAGGACTAAAGGGAATGCTGACACGTTGTGGTAAGCACAGCTAACATCACCGGGACAATTGCTGTGGATACTGCCAAAGGAGAAACTAACTTGCTCTGTAAACTTTCACCAAACACTCAAGAAAATATTATTTCTAAAAAGAAAATAAGATCACCCACCAACACTCAAACCCACAGACAAATTAACATATAATCCGAACCAGTTGCTATCTAGTTTACTGTGATTTACAGTGACCCCGTGTGCCACAGGGTAGAACTACCCAGGGTTTTCAAGGATGTGTCCTTTCAGAAACACGTCCATACGCTTTTCTTCCAAGGCCCCTTTGCTGGGCTCAAATCATCAACCTTTCCGTCAGTACACAAGTGTTTAATCACTTGTGCCACACAGGGATTCCTGGTGAAATTCAGGCTGGTTTAAAGATACTTTTCTCTCACTTGTTTTTGTGTCTGTCTGGTAGCCTAGCGGCAAGAAGCTGAGCTGCAGTTCCCAAAGGCACGAGCTGAGCTGCAATTCCCAAAGGCACGCAGTTTGAGTCCACCAGCCGCTCTTCGGGAGAAGGATGGGTCACCTCCAGCTGTGGGTTGGTTCCCACTTGATGTTACTCAACAACAGAAAGTGGAAGTCATGGGCAAAGAAGTTCCGACATGAATGACCGTTTCCCACCACTCCTGTTCACACATTCTCTCTCGCTTTTCTCAAGATACTATTCAGGGGGAGCTCTGGTGGCCTAGTGGCAAGGAGCTGCAACTACAATCCCAGAGGCGCACGGTTTGAATCCACCAGATGCTCTGCCGGGGAAGGAGGGACAATCTCCTCCTGTACCAGTCAGATCTGATTTGACGGTATACTCACACAAAAATAATAAAACAAAAAATTTAAAAAAAGATATTATTCAGAACTCTACTGATGCATTTACTCCTTCCATCATGTACAGAAGAAAAGCATAAAGTGAGGGGAGCTGCGGAGTGTGAATTCGCAGGGATCTAAGTCTTGCTCTTTTGTAGGAAGCAGCTCTACTTTTACGTGACATTGCCTGAAGGCTTCTGTCTACTTCTTTAAGCCTATGTCTAGTCCATATTGTTAGGATTCAGGTTTTGCTCCGCCATCTGTTATCTAAAGCTGTGACCTCAAGGCTGAAGCAGTATCTGAGCCTGATGCTTCTGAACGATGTTTCCTGTCATTTGCTAAGCGAATGCCTCTGTTGCTCAAGAGACTTTCTCTTACCTGATGCTTGAGGGCTTCCAAGGACTCAAACTCCAACCTGGCCAGTTTCATCTGGATGTGCCTCGGTTTATCAGGTATGGCAAATGCAACGACGAACTTTAAAGCCAGAAGGGCGTGCTGAAAACGAGAGAGGAAACATGTTGACAAGATGTACAAGCAAACAAAATAGCAAATGAGTCTGGAGTGTTTCTAATTACTGGCCTGTGAAGCATGTCACTGGTCCACTGGTTATAATTCATCCACCCTGCTGTGACCTAGTCGGTACTTACTTAGCTTATTCTTTAAAAAACAATTATTGCCATAAATTGATACCGTTTATTATTGTTTTCTTTTAAACATGAAATTTCTTCCTAAAAGCTTTCCATTAAGTTAGGTTTTTTAATCCACACCTTAATTTCCAATGTATCTTAGCATTTGCTATTTACAGAGCCATTTCCCAACTCCTCTGCCCAGTGTTCTCCACCCGACACTGTGCTCCAGACTGAGCGGTACCTGTGTCTTAAATATCAAATGCATAATCATCCGCATCGCAAACAGTAGCCAGGACCATTTCCTTCAGTAACTGATAATCAGTAAATATTAGCTGATTGATTAAGGTACGCTAGCTTAGGTTACTGAAAGGACGAAAGTTACACAAGTGTCCAGGTCTTTCATTTATAGGGTCGCTATGAGTCACCTACGACTCAACGACACTTAACAACAACAACAACAGCTTATGTTGCTGACTCCTTACAGATAGGGCAGGTATATGGAAATATAAATTGTATCTTTTTCATTATAGAAGTAGAAAACTTTAAATGGTGTTATCTTTTTCTTCTGTACCAGCATCATAAAGAAGTTCCATACAGTGCAATAAGATTTGTAATATGCTTCTTTCTCTTCAGAACTAAGGCAATAGTACATTCTCCATCGGACACCCTGGTCTTCAGACACTTGACTCACTGATGCTCTTCCAATTCCCACACCATCTTGTGAGTCCGGGATTGACACCACAGAAATCTCAAGGGGTAAGAGAACAAGGTTGCCTCTTTGATGGTAGCATGAATACTTGACTACATATTAAAAGCTATGAAATAATTTTTTTTCCAGAGTTATCATTCTTTTATTGAAGCTTAATAGTTTCACCAGACTTTTGGCCCCAAATGAAAAAAAAAAAAAAACAAAAAACCACAAAACAAAATGGCAAATAAAAATGAAAACATTGGCCGTGGGAAGTGGCAATGGTCCCTCGAGGACTGAAGCCAAGCAGAGCATGGCAGGCAAGTGAGAACGCAGCTAGGGAGAGCAGAAGCCTGGCCGAAGGTACCAGACTGTCCACATCATCCAAGGTGGGCCAGCCTCCAGGCGGCTCCCATTAACACACTGGCCCAGTGGGCATGGGTGGTGGTCAAATCAAACACCCTGGTCCTGTGGACAAATCCCTCCATGCTTGATCAGATTCCACCTTACAGAAACTGAGCTCTGACAGAACAGCACAGGTGAGGAAACACAGGTGCTAGGAGTGTGCTGGGCACTTCCCACTGGTGTCAGGGCTGAGAAGGAAAAGCTAGAGGCCCCGTCCAGCCGGCAGGACCTAAATCCACTGCAATGACTGTTATCTCCCATTCCTGATGAAAGCTGTGCCCTTTAATTGCTCAGGGACATTCAACACCTAGTGTTTTCGTCATGTCTGCCACTATTTGGTGGCCATGACACAGAACTCCCAACCATCTCTGGGAACAGTGCAACATCAGAAAAAGGGAGAATGTTTAGGGAAAAGGCCTACACGCTCCTCCCTCTCTAAGGAGCCAGGAAGGGTCCCCCCAGGGCACTCCACTCTACAGAGGAGTAGAGTCAGAGCATCCGAGAGGCTGTCATGGTGACGAAGTCCTCAAAGCTGAGCCGGATATTGCCCTGCACAGCTGTGTCCTTCTCCCTGAAGGCCTCAGTCAGCACCTGCAGCTGGGTGCACACCTGGATGAAACGGTCCAACTGCATGGAGGGATTGGCAGAGCGCGGGCAGTAACGGGAGACCAAGAGCTGGGTAAACTGGGGGCTCAGGTTGTAACCCATTTGAGACAGAGCTTGCTGCAGCTCTGTGTAGCTGATGGAGCCTGAGTGGTCCCGATCATACTGCTGGAAGAGGTTCTTCCACTGCTGGATGAATTTCCACAGGGCCGAGAAACCATAGACATCGATGCGGCCTGACTTGGTCTTGTCAAACATGTTTATCATCATGAGGCACGTCTCATCATTGAATGAGGACCAATTGGAGTTGACCAGAGCCTGCTTCAGCTCCTTGATGGAGATGTAGCCACTGTGATCGGAGTCCACCGACTGGAACCAGGAGTAGGCCTCAGGATCCACATTGGGAGGGGCGCCGCCTGGAGGAGGACCCTGCCCATAAGGCCCAGGATTCTGGGCGCCATAGGAGTTTGGAGGTGGCTGACCATAGGGGCTTCCTGGGGCTGCACTGCCATAGGGTCCTCCTGGAATTCCAGAAGGGAGTCCTCCAGGGTGTCCATAAGGTCCTCCACCAGCTGGTGGTCCATAAGGGCCCCCAGGTGCAGGACCCCCAAAACCGCCACCTGGAGGTACCCCACTTCCATACTGGCCACCATGGGTGGGCGGAGGGTAGTAGCTGCCTGGAGGGGCTCCAGGTGCTTGTCCTGCAGTTCCTGGGCAACCCTGCCCGTACGGATAGCTGGACATGGCGACTCAACTGTCACTTGTCGGTGAGGGCGAAATAATTTTTAAAAGAGAGAAAATTGATAGGCATTAAGAAAGTCAATGGAAAGAATGAATACTGTATGAGACCATTATTGTAGAAATAGAAAAATAACTAATACAATGTGCATGAGGACCCAATGGGGGGAAAAGAGGGGTGAGGATGGGGGGTTGGTATAATAATAGGGTTGCACAGTTTGATGGAGGGAGGGAGGGGTGGGTAAAGGAAATGGGAAAGAGACAGTGTGAAAAACAATGTAAATGAACTTTGTAAGTAAATCAGTATAAAATAAAAATTTTAGTAAAAGAAAAAAAAGAAAGAAAGTCAATGGAGGAGATGGAACAGACTCTAGAAAAGGTTGCATTGAATAACTGGCCAGAAAAGCAAGCAGCTGGAAGTATTTAAATGGAATCTTTACTGTAACATTTTCAAAGGGATGATGAAGGGTAAATAACAAATGAAACTCTCCTGAGAGAAGCATGGAACAGTGAAGGGAATCAGCATCATGCCAGAACAAGTAATAATTAAATCAGAAGACAAGAAAATTGGCAGAGCCCCAGGGCAGGCCAGCCACTGTCTGGGATTAATGAGAGATCTGGAGTGGACCAGGGACAGGCAGCCCTCACGTAAATGTGACTGTCACACCAGAGAAGACAGTGGAAAGTACTAATTAGAGATCTATAGACTCAGAAAAGGAGTGTGTCAGGGATGCATCCTGTCTCCATGCCTTTTCAATCTATATGCAGAACAGATCATTTGAGAGGCTGGACTTTATGAGGAGGAAAGTGGCATCAGGACTAGAGGACGATTCATCAACAACCTACATTACGCAGATGACACAACCTTTTTTGTTAAAACAGAGGAGGTCCTGAAGCATTTGCTTCAGAGGGTAAAGGACTGTAGTTTGCAATATGGATTGAAGCTCAACATCAAGAAAACAAAGATTCTCACCCCGGGGCCAACTGGCAGCATCATAATACATGGAGAAGAGATTGAGATTGTTAACAATTTCAGCTTGGTCGGTTCCACAATCAACATTCTTGGTACCAGCAGTCAGGAAATCAGAAGATTGCATTAGGAAATTGCTGTCTGGGATCCCTCAAAAGGGCTGATGAGCTAGAAAGTCAGTTTAGAGACTAAGGTGCACCTGATCCAGGTCATGGTTTTTGCAATTACTTGCTGTGCATTAGAGAACTAAATAACTAAGGATGACAGATGAAGAACTGATGCCTTTGAGCTGTGGTGCTGGAGAGGAGTAATGAACATACCATGGACTGCCAAGAGAACGAATAGGTCTATCCTGAGAGGGTGAAGCCAAACTGCTCCTTGGAGACAGGGATATTGAGACTCAGTCTCAGGCATTTGGGGCATGTAGCCAGGAGGGACCAGTCTTTGGAAAGTGATATCATACTTGGAAGGGTCGAGGAATAGCACAAGAGAGGAAGACCCTGGATGAGAGGAATTGACACAATAATTGCAGTAATGAGGGCAGGTGTGTCAGAGACAGTGAAACCAGCTCAGGATAGAGCAGGGTTCAGAGTTATTGTGGAAACGGTTGCTATGAGTCATAGTCAATTCAGTGGCACATAACAACAACAACAATCTAAGAAAATGTGTATATAACAGTGCATGGATCAGACGAAACCATCTGTAGCCTTTCTGACCTGGATCCAATTCACAAATAAACAGACAATTCTGAAAATGCTATGCTGTGCCATTCCATCATGCTTTAAAGTACTGAGAGATCATTTTATAGAAGACTTAGTCTCTCCAGTAGAAATATTTAACAATAAATAGGTTAGGAAAGAAAGAGAAATCTATGTTTTCCAGCCAATGAGAGGCCACAAGCTGCGGGAGTTTCACCATGGCCAACTCACTGGTCTTCCATCCCTCCCAAAGGTCATCTTCCTCCAGGTTTGGCTGGCAATTAGTGAGGGGGAAAAAACACCAAAACACCCTGTGAGGAAGAGCAGGCTTCCCTGAATGTAGCGTGTAGGGAAGTTGCGTGAATTCTCCGGCCAGGCCTGCATGCTGCATGAGTGAGCGGCACGGCTGCCACAGACCTCCCTGCACACGGTCCCCTCACCCTATGCGTGCTCACAAAACTCCTCATAAATGGGGGAAAGGCAGCTAGATAATAGCAGTCAAAACAAGAGGCTATTTTAACTGGTGAAAACATTTATCTGGTAACATGCTTGTATGAATAACTCTCTGTAGTTTATTTCTCTAAAACAATTTCATAATATAAACTTTTAAGACCAATGAATAGAAGAGTCAGTTCAAATTAGGTTCCTAGTTGACCTATCCATGCCAAGATTTCAACCTCTTGCTGAACAGCTCCGGGTTAACTCCCAGGAGAGATGCACACAGTCTGACTTTGACTCGCTCCTGTTGAGTCAGAGGTGACTCT